CCCCCCCCCTTCTACAAACTGTTTAGTATTCTTGTAGACCCTTTTGGGACCAACAAATATATGATACATTAAAAATGGTTTTTAAGAGTTTTATCCAAGTACTTTATAATATAATGTAGAGGGTAATCGTGCAATGCAATGAGTTACATCTCGATTTTAAGGTTTCTTTATATTATTTGTCTCTGTCAATATAATACGGTTTTATATGATTTTGAGAAAACGATGATGTTTTATTTTTGAATTAAATATAAATTTGAAGAAATCATAAAAATATGAAAAAATATATTGATATTAATATCAAATTGACTATTTAAAAGTTCTATTTTTTGTATAATTTCTTTAATTCAATTTTTTATTAAAATTTCAATTTAGGTTTAATAACGAAACAATTTGTTTTTAGTTTAATTAGCAATTTAATAAGTTGTTTTTTTAGTGTTTGGCAAATTTTGGTTACACATTTCAAATGACCAAAAAGGATCTTGATCGTACCTGTTATTTTGCTTATACAGAGGGTCACTTTAGGGGAAAAAAAGCCCAAAATTTGAAAAGTCAAATCTAGATCAATTGTCCCTGTGATTTCAAGATCGTCCCGATGATTAAAGATCTTGATCCTCCCTGTGATTCCACCAGTGAAGAAGATGGACAAGTGTATGAGGGACGAGGGACCGGTGTGTATTATGATGAAACCATGGGAAGTGATGAAGGTAAAAGGGACGGTGGAGTAAGGAGGAGGGAGACAACGGAGAAAGAAGGGGAAGAGCTTTACCAGAGGATAGGATTGTCACCATGGATGGGGAGCCGATGTGGCTGGAGAATGGAATGGAGCTTTACCAGAGAATACGATTGTTACCGTAGGAGAGAAGGTTTATTAAGGTTAAAAAGGTAATTTAGTTTTCAAATCTAATAAGTTGTTTCTGATAAGTTAGAAGAGAGTAACTTATTAAAAACTCCTTATTACTAGTTTAACACCGATATAAGCATTCTCTTTTTCCCCTTCCAAGCACTAAAAAATGCTTATTACTGGTACTACACCGATATCCTTAATTAGTTGTACCCCTTAAAAATTTACAAAATAACCGATGTAACTCCAAGGTAAACAATTTGAAGGGCTCAAATTTAATATCAAGCCTCATTTAGGGGTCGTTTACCTAAATGCTTACCGATAGGATTTAACATTATAATTTATTTTGATACGTAAGATTTTAGTACATCAAACCATATCGAATGCAACAAGTTACTGAGTCGTCGTCCTTATTTACCGGGTAAGACTCTTTATCTTTTTCATTGCTCTTACCCGATAAGATTCTTGGCCCTTTTCATGTTCATCCGATAAAGAAATTTATCCAGTAAGCAATTATCAAGTAAGTGTTTAGTAAACATCCCTTTAAACTGCTAAAATTTAAATGACTGTTTTTTAATTCATCGTAGTCAATATTATATATATTCTACACATTAAAATATCATAACCCATTCAACCTACACGTGCCAAATAACGTCCTTAAATATCATATCAGATTTCACAAAGTATCAAAAGCAAAGTTGGTCTTCATACGTGCATAGGTTTTCCTATATATAACAAAGCTTTTCCCTACTCCATAAGAAGACATAACTTCGGAGAAGAAAGCAAACCCTCAAACATATTCAACCATAACCATCATGAGCTCACTGAAAATTGTAAAGGCTTATGAGGGTTATAAACCCTACATAGCAATGCTTCTAGTTCAAGTAATATATGCAGGCATGGCTCTGCTGTCCAAAGCATCCATTTCTTCAGGAATGAATCCTTCCATTTTCGTCGTCTATCGTCAAGCCTTCGCGACTCTATCGTTAGCCCCACTCGCATACTTCTTCGAAAGGTCCAATGTTTTGTTCATCTTTTCAGTTCTGACAAGTAATTGTGATCCAAACCCTAAGTTTTTCTAGGCCCCTCTGGTAAATTGTGCAGGAAGAATGTACCTCAGCTATCCTACACCTTGATGTGGAAGATTTTCTTCAGTTCTTTGATTGGGTATCAAAACTTTGTCTAATCTTTCAATAATTTGCCTACCATGATTTGAATTTTGTATGCTCAAATGTTTACTAAAACTTCTTCAGGATTACGATTTGTTTGAATATGTACTATCACGCACTCAATCATACGTCTGCAACGTTTGCTGCGGCCACGACTAACCTGGTTCCGGCTATTACCTTTGTGATAGCTCTTATTCTAAGGTGTGTATATATATGGTCAAGTTTCATTAGCAGGGACAACCCTACATAGGCTCAACATCTCACTACAAGAAAACTGGGTTTACAGGACGCTAAAAATTTATAAGGGTCCCTTTCATAAGACTAAATGATAAAAACGTCTTATCTAAAAGTGTTGTAATAAGTTTATATGACGTTTTTAGACGTGTTAACAAGTTTTTAGAGCAACTTTAAAATGAAACATCCCATTAACTATTATAAAACACTTTCTCATATAGTGTCCTATAAAATGGTTAATATGACGATTTGAACTAAAAATATGATAAAAAAAACTTGTTAAGATGCCTAAAAATGTCCTATAAACTTATTACAACTCTTTTAGATAAGACATTTTATCTTTTGGTTCTATAAATTTAAGATCTATGTGAAGCGATATATATATATCACAACATGTAGGTATTATTCGCATCCTACAAACCCGATCTGTTGTAGTGTTTTATGAAACTTAATCCATATATAGATGACCCCTATATACTGTTTGAAATGAAAATTTGCAGGATTGAGAGAATGTACATAAAAGAATTGCATGGTTGGGTAAAGTTAATTGGAGCTATAGCTTCTCTTTCTGGGGCACTTGTGTTTGCTTTTGTTAAAGGACCAACTTTGAACTTCATGGCTTGGTGCACATCAGGGGAGGGTGGTGAAATCGCTTCAACGATGAATCAGTTTAGTTCGAAATCGGAGTTTGTTAAAGGCCCCCTTACGATTCTTTGCGCAAACATTCTTTGGTCGTGTTGGAGCATTATGCAGGTTAACTAACAATTAGTTGTTCATAATCACCTTTGTTAACACTACAACAAATTTAGGTTTATAAAACTTCAAACTATCTAAGTGTTCTAATATAAGACTTCAATTTATCAGACCAAACAAAAAACGTCGTGTCTAAAGGTGTTACAATAGGTTTATAGGACGATTTTGAGCATCTTGACAAGTTTTTTAGGACTTTAAAACAAAGTGTCAAATCAGTTATTCTATACGATCCCATTTGAAAAAATGCCTGATAAAACATGGGTTTATAGGATCTTCTCAAAATTGTTATATAAAATAACTAATACGATACTTTATTCCAAAAACATCTTAAAAAACTAGTTGAAACACCCAAAAACATCCTATTAACCTGTTGCTAGACTTTTAGTTATAACATTTTATAGTTTGGTCGTATAAACTTAAATCCTATGAAGTATTCTATTAAGACGCTTAGATATTTTGCTGTAATGTAATTTGAACTTTCGATTTAATGTCTTATCATTGTCTTTGGTTTTTGCAGGCACCAATTATGAAGGAATTCCCAGCAAAGTTATCACTAATTACTTTTCAATGTTTCTTTAGCTTGATACAAGCAATAGTTGGGGCAATAGCCATGGAAAGAAACCTACCTTCATGGAAACTTGGATGGGATGTTAACCTGCTTTCAGTGGCTTATTGTGTAAGCATTATTCTTTTCATCTAATATATAATATCTTCATTTGATTTCTTTAGGATTCAAATATTCAGCACTCTTTTCAGTAGTATAATATAAGACTTAGTTTATAGGACCAAACAAAAGGTGTCAAATTAAACTGTTCGGCGTTTTAACAAGTTTATTAGACGATCTAAAAGTACAATGTCATACTAACTAAATTAGGATAGGCCACCAATGAATAGGTGATTTAATTCTAAGAGGGTACGTTGTTCCGTACACCTGATTTAATTCTAAGAGAGTTCGTTGTTTCATACACCTAATCTAATTCTAAGAGGGTACGTTGTTCCGTACACCTGTTAGGTGTACGGAACATGTTGTGGATTCTATGTAAATGTTGTTCCTCACTTTACTTTCTATATCTAAATTGATTACACATACAGGAATTGATCATAATTAAATCAAAAGGTTTCCCACTTGATTTATGACACCAGATCCACAACCCACAATTTTAGGCTTTTGGGGTCTAATTAACAAAAGCCATCTAAAGGGGGCCAAACACAAAAGTGGTGAGCATGCATGCAGACTGACACCACTTTATTCGTCTCAAATTTAAAGTATTTACATGCTTTTTTAGATCGTTTCCACTTACCATTACATTTTAGGGCTCATTAGGAATAGGGGTTGATTGGCTGTTTCATTAAGCTAGTATGCATAAAATTATACATGTGTATTAATTTGTTTTTGTGAGTGTTTTTCATAAATGGAAGGAACACTTTTCTTAACTAGGAGAACAAATTTGGAAAAAACTTGACTTTCTACATAAAGCTTCTACTAAAAACATGATGAATAAACCAGTTTCGTTATCATTAAGTAAATACCAAAGAGTTATATGTAGCTTAATGAATAAGCTGTTTAATTTTATGTTGGTGTGAAAATGGCAGGGAGTAATTGTGACAGCATTCACATATTGGTTGCAACTGTGGGCAATAGAGAAGAGAGGTCCTGTCTTCACCGCCATGTTCACTCCTTTGGCGCTCATCATCACTGCCGTCGTATCAATGTTCTTGTGGAAGGAAACCCTTTACTTTGGAAGGTCTGTCTTTGACATTTTTTGAAGATCCACATAAACCCTTTAAGTTTTCTTATAGAAACCCTAATATTGGATTTGGAGAAGAGAAACATATATATGAGCAAAATCACTCGCTACAATAAAATTGGGTTTATAGGACACCCCCAATCTTTAAGCGTCTCAATAGACCTATTTCTAAGACTTAATATATAAGACCAAAATATAAAGTGTCATATCTAAAGGTGTTGTAATAAGTTTATATGACGTTTTTGGAAGTATTACAAGTTTTTTATGACATTTTTAATACAAAGTGTCGCATTAGCAACTTTATAGGACACTTTTGAGAAAGTGTCCTGTAAACTCAATTTTTTATAGGAGATTTGTTTTTATAGGACAGTTTTTCGAATAGTGTTTTATAAAGTTACTAATGAGACGCTTTATATTAAATGTGTCCTAAAAAACTTATTACGACATCAAAAAAATGTCATATAAACTTATTACACCACCTTTAGATATGACGTTTTATTTTTTTGGTCCTTTAAATTAAGTCTTATAAAGAGGTATATTAGGACGCTTAGAAATTAAGAGTGTCCAATAAACCCGACTTTCTTGTAGTGACTATATAAGATTGTCTAACAACAAAAAGTGCTTCAAGAACCTAATGTATTTATTTTAAACCCTAAACTTTTTGAAACCCTAATAAACTTGGTTTTCAGCCGATGTCGCATGCGGTGTATATATATACCGTAAAAATGTAAGAAATGAAGGCTAGGATAAGGTTTATATATGAATTATTGAAAAATATATATATATATTTGTAGATGCATATGTGAACTCATATGAATAATATATAACTTCGGTTTACATATTCATTTTCAAATAGATTTTTTTAATGATTTACATATGAAACTTTCTTTAAACTTCCTTTGTTACATTTTTACGATATTTAGTCTTCTTATTTATACAGAGAGAGAGAGAGAGAGACAAAGAGAGTGTGTGTGTCAGATTTAGCGAAAACGGTAAATAAATGAAATACTAGAAAACACTTTATAAACCGTTTGTTTAAATAATGCAATGTATGTGATTAGATGGACACTTACAATAATGTTTTTAAATTAAAGAACCTCACCCTCTCTCTTATTTTTTATTCTAAAAAGGATGAAAAATAAAAAAAATGGAACAAAATAAATTATACCAAAAAAATATTACATTTTTCTCGTTAATTTAATACTCATATCAATATATTTTTGCATCCGTTTTGTGGTTTTTAAAGTTTCCATTTATTTAGCGTTTTTCCATGAATCTAGCCCTATACGCCCGGGGAGGGGGGTTGCGAAATTGACTTCTGTTATGAGTTAGAGGACAAACATGAGTGCATCACGTGTTCCGTACTATCACACGATATTTATCATATATAAAGTTATCATGAATGATGTAAAAAATTCACATTCATTGTTGACGATGAATGAAGACATGTGTCATGTTCTCGTTCGTCCCTAGTTTGCAACTGAAATCAGGTTTACATCAGAATTTTCTATATATATATATATAGGGGTTGTTTCAACTTAAAAAACTAAATATCATAAGAAAGTAAGAAAATAAGTTTAAGTGGATGTTCATATCTAAAATCATTGAAAAAATCTTAAAACGTCTATTTGAATACGCTATTCACATATGCATCTTCAAATATTTTCTTTTAAGATTCACATATGAAGCTTCTTTTATTCTTCTCTTCTTACCTTCTCACAATATTTGACCTTTTTATTTAAACATAGGGTAAGGTTCAAGAGAAACAGCAAAAAAATGAAAACCATGTGAAAGACACACGTAACCATTCATCTAGACACTATACACATATTCATACAAATAATGTGTAAGCAATTTGTCAGCTATTCACATGCGCATAAAAATCAAGAAAAAAAATTCAATTACTTATATACACATACATACTATCCAGATGAATGGTTACAAGAATATTACTCAGTTTTTCATTTTTTAAGGGTTTTCCTACCGTAGATATTTCATACAACTCCACAAGAGAATGGGGCAAAAATTTGAAGTGTTCCATATACAGGGCATGACCCTAGCTAAACCCTAAAAGAAGCAATATTATCATACCAAAATCAAACACTAACAAAGTGTGTACTTAATGCAGTGTTTGTGGGGCTGTGTTACTAGCAGGAGGGTTGTATTGTGTTCTCTGGGGAAAGAGCAGAGAAGTTGAAAGTAAAATCAGTGAAGTAAAACCTGAAGAGGAAACCACGTTGGAATCCATTAAAACACAGGATCAGTGAGCTCTTGTCAATTCAGATCCATCAAGTGTCGGCCAGATTCTGTTGTAGAAATGATGGTAGCCATCATCATCATCATCATCATCATCGAATACACAAGGCACCCAGTTAAGAAATGTGGTAGCCCACACCAAGCACTTGTACCATAATCATTAACCACAACCATTTTTTTTATGTTTAGATATCAGTTTTGTATCTATTTTTATAACTAATAAAAGGGTTTTGGTTTCATTATGCTTTTGTATCTTGAATGGGATTCCTGTTTCGTTTGTTCTTTAATCCTCTTCCACGATGTTTTTAAAAATAGTAATATAAAATAAATTTTGTAATATAATATTAAAAAATCATAGTATGGACTCCATTTTTGTCAATATAGGTTTAATTACGAATTTTGTCCCTATAGCTATTCAAAAGTTTGGATTGAGTACTTCCAAATGAAATAATTGTATGTATAGTAATCATGTTTTCACTTTTGTTACTTCATTAAGTGGTTCTCCATTGATAAAGTAAAGGGTAATATAGTATTTTTTTTGAATCTTTTGTTCTATTTTTTTAAAATTTAATTACTATATTTAATATCTCACTCTCTCTCTCACGCTCTCTCTCACTCTCTCTCTCTCTCTCTCACACACATATATATATATATATATATATATATATATATATATATATAGAGAGAGAGAGAGGTGGGTTATTATACAACCT